CTCTTGGGCCAATGTGGGAGGAAGTCTGATACCCAGATTGTGAGGGGTGGCCACAATAGCCTGGCGGTGTTTTTTTCCACCCTATTTGCATTATTTCTAAGTTCGTTTCCTGTAAGGAATTATAAAGTACATATGTAAGTAGCTAGAGGTGGACTATTTTTCTCTCACTGTCAACAAACGGTGTGAGAAAATACAATTATTTGTACTTGCGTGCGCCATTATACAGGCTACTGCAATCCTAGGCCTTTCCATTAACCGCTTTCCAAAGACAGTTTTTTTGTGTGTTTGTTTTTTAAATGGCCAAGCTTCCAATTATATTAACTGCTGTACAAACCACATTTGGTCATATGCATTACCATTTTTTTTTCCCATCAGAAAGACCACCACCATACTCAAGTGATTTACTTGACTCTTATTTTGACCAATTAAAAGTCATTGCTAGCCAGTTACAACAATCCATCCAGTCTGAAGGACCCTTTGAGAGCTGGTTCCTGCACACTTATGCAGAGACCGAAATTACATGGAGAAACACTGAAGAAGCAGCCTGACAGAGACTGGGTGCTGAAGCTGGCCGGTGATGAGATGCAGGTGGTCAGGCTGAAGGGCGGAAACACTAGCCCTCCACCCAAGAGCGGAGAAACCTCTGCTCAGTTCCTCCTAGACCCAGAGTGTTACGGAGTCCGAAACACCATGAAACCAGTGCTGGACTATGACATGGACCTGCATTTGCCGTTGGAGCTGCAGCTGATGGAGCACTGCATAAAAATATGAAACTTTGACAGTTTTAAGGCCGGTTTCAGTTTTGATCCTGGTTTAGCAGTAAAAGATTCTGATATTTGAAATTCGTCAGACAGCAGCTTCAGAGGTCATGTGTCATCAGATCAAAAAAATTGATCCTTGGGGAACACCTCAGGGAATCTATTTCGGTCCAGCTCTCCACCCATGCCAGCAGTCGGTATCAGTATAATGAGCGGTTTCTGTGCAAGTGGAAATCTGAGTGAAACGTTGCACCTCACTGTGATGTCGCCAACATTATTGAATCTTTAATATCACTAATTCACATTTGATTGGTGATTATATAACTTATTAAGACTGCCATTTTCTAAAACTGCTCCTGTAGGTTTTAGCAAAGGTTACTCACACAAATACCAGCATCAATGTTAGGGACTATTTGCAGCAGTGGATTAATACGCATACCAGAATATGGTGGCTTGATTTAAACAGACTCCAGTGGCTGGGCTTCTGTGTCAGGATTTAGCTGCTGCTAAAACAACCTTTTTCTACATTTAGTTTGCTACATCGCTAAAGTGTTGTACAATCCTACAATTTTCTTTTGTTCACATTTGACCCAAGTAACTGAGGAAAGAAATTGCACTGACATGCTAAGATCCCTTAAGATGTCAGGCTGCATACTTCTTCGGGGAATTCATCAAATCCCATCCCAGAAAGGCATATCCATTACAAATAGAGATAAAGGATGTGAAAGGGGCAGAAACCAGACGAGAGCTATCCAGGCTGTTAACATGCCGTCTGTCACATTGAGGCCAGAGGCTGAAATTGCAGCTGCACACTGTCGATTGGAGAACACAGCGTGCTGCAAGTCTGTTTGCATTTTCATTGGAATTTGTCCAAAAGTCTGTAAAGTTGTAATTTAATGGATGCTTGATGAAAGGATTTTACGGGCAGCTCTGCTCACATGACATACTGGTCTCACCGCAACACATATCCAGTGTTCAGTCATGTCGGTGTATGTGAACTATCAGTGATCTGCTTGTTTTGCTGCATAGCCGCTTCCACATCGCTCACTTGAATGCGGTGCTGCTTCTTGCTGCTGCTTTCAGCATGTCACTCACGCCAGCATCCACCTGAAGGATCTGATTGATTCTAGTTCCCTTTACAAGGATCTTACTGTCTTTGCTCTACATTCCTTGTGAGGTGAGAATATTCCAAGTGACAAAGCCTGTAGACCTGTGCAAGGCTGGAGAAGTGATAGTATAAATTTTTAACAAAAAAAAAACAGCCCCAAATTCTCAAGTTCTGGCTTGTTAAACTTAAATATAAGCTGCTTTAGACATTCAGCATCTTTAGAACAGGATTTTTTAGTTTTAACTGTATGAATCAGGGCTGAAAATATTTTCAGTCCCCTAATACAAATATCCAAGAAGGTTAGGACTAAAACATAGGCTGTATAATGTAAATTTAAAAAGAAACGTGACTTGCAGTTCACTCAAACGGTTTCGACTGAATGTACAAAGACATGAGGAAACAAAACCTTACTGTAGTTTTGGTGGGATTAATTGGACATAATGAGACAAGGGGAAGCGAAACTAGAAACACTGACAAGAGAAACGGACCTTCAAAATAAAACAGGAAACACAGATAAAACTCTAAACACGCAAACAACACAGACTGGGGAGACAGAACATAGGAAATTGAAATGTGGAACAGGAGAGCACAGAGGACACAAAATACTAGGGATAATCGCAAACAACTCAAAATAAACAAAACCACAGAATATTAATAAATTTAAACATAAACACGGAGTCAGACTCCGGGCCATGACAGATAGACAAAAACTCTCACAGTCACTGGAACATCTCTTGGACAGCTAATCAGAAATACACCTCACATCCAGAGTTTGAAAAACCAGAGTTTCAGGGACATGGAGGCAGAAGGTGGATATTCAAGAGAAGCAAACAAAACTAAATGGGAGAAGCACAAACCCATCAAGAGGCACTTAAATACACTATACTAACACTGTACAAAAGCAAGGATGTCAAACTCATTTTACTTCATGGGCCGCATACTTTGGCCATAAGTGGGCTGGATAAGTGAAACTCTCCTTTCTGTCAGTGAAAAGAAGTCTAACTACACATTTAATAGCTGTGATTTAGACTCTTAGAGCTTAAAGTGTAAGAAATAAATGTGTAAAATGAAGATATGAATGTCCTGTAATTGTAAAGTGGAAAATGTATAGTATTTCTTCTTCTTTTTTTCCATTTTTTTACTTGAACCCACAGAGTAAAAAAAATAGGAATGTCATTTATTGTTTATCTATTACTTTTTTACAGTCTTTATTGTGATGTAAAACTTATGAGTAAATTGTTAAAAGTCTGTACATTTTCCAAACTTGCTCAGTGGGTCAGATTGGAGTCTTTGGTGGGACACCCCTGACATAAAGGGACAACATGGAAAATCATGGCATAGCATACTGATGCTAATTAAAAGAGCTGTTTCTTGCTATATGTGTATGGCCTTCATTGGCCTCGGGTTGTATATGTGACAGATATGACCTTTTTAGAGCAAGACCCCCAGAAAAAAACCCCAGCAATAGGATGCTGGTTCTGCTGACCCCACCATCACTGTGACAAAGACGGATGAACACATCACTCCAATACCAGAGACAGACAGCAGGTTCCCCTCCCCCACACAAATCAAACTGAAAATACATTCTGGCGACAGAAGACTTTCTGGAATGTATGGGATAGTGAGGAAAACATTTTTGGAGGTCTAAATTTGACCCACTGCTTTGCTTTAGGCTGCTCTGCCTTTGATGCCTCTCATGTCCCTCTGGTATGTGAGTAGATAAGCATACTCAGCTGTTGATGATAACAATTAAATCTCACAGCTACTTGTTTCTCAGAAAACCTTTGGCAGGCTTTGTGCTGCTCAGAGCTGAAGGTCTCATGTTCCATCGATGTAAACGCTCGTGGCACAAAGTTTTGGCAGTGGCACCACCATAGTGGCTGGTAGAAGCAGATTTACCTCCAGTGGGTTAATCCTCAATTAAATATCCTCCTTTGTGTGTGTCCCAGAACGTCACAACAATGTGTGTGTTATTTGCGAGCAATAATTGGTGCTGGCTGACGGCTTGTTTTCACTTGCAAGATGGCAAAATGAAACTTCTGATTAGTATTCTTCTTTCCTTTTCACCCGACCCCAGATGAATTCTTTGTGCTCCGTTCATTATGTAATTCTCGACCAGGCAACCCGCTGGGTTTATTTTTAGCTGCATCCGTGCAGTTGGAGAGTATAAAGGTTTGGGTGATTTGATGCTCAATTGCAATTTTTTTAATTCAGCGCACTTCAGTTTCTTAAGCCTTAAATCCCTTCAGTGTGTCTGTCTCTCTGCTTGTGTGCCCCCAGATATCCCTTTAACCCCAGCCTGCTCTTTTTGTAGTTTCCATTAGCTTCCAATGTACTTGACCTTATGCAGTGTGGCCATATTGTTTTCTAGTTTTGAAGCTTATTTCAGGCGTCTGAGACAGACAAGTGTGAGTTGGATGGTGGTTGGCAGAGATCTTTGGATGGTTGGATCTCATTAAGTAGCCGTGATACGACTTATCATGACTGAATATTAAATACAGTTTTCTCTGCCAGGGACTGCACAAGGACTTATTAGTGTCACTGATAGTTCTGGCCTTATGTTACTTTACATTTAAATCCAATGAGTTCCACACAGTGAGCTGGACAGACTTTAAATCAGGCAGAAAGAGTTTATAAGTGGAAAAAGTGGAATCTCAGTCAGTACTTGCACAGCCACAGACGATGTGAGTCACTGAGTTTGGAAATAAGGAAAGAAAGATTTATCCACTTTTGCCTTTTTTTTTATTCACACGTTGCCATTCTGTTGTTGTAAAAATTGTGAGGCTGCAACACTTCTATGACTAATGGAGTCGGCTGATATAATGCTACACAATAACAATTATTTGTGGATAAATGGTCAGAAAGTGAATTATTTACAGAGTAAGAGTACTCAGACACGACCCCTATTTAGAGACGCTGGACGTGCTGTGTGAAATTTACCTCAAAATGCAATTATTTGTAAATGTTTCAGTGTAAACATTCTAAATGTTTTCTGTGCCCTATTGTGAATAAAATATGGACTCATGAGATTTGCAAATCATTAATTAATCATTTCATTGTTTACATTTTGCAAAGCATCCAACGTTTTTGGAGTTCATAACTGACACAGAGCATCATTTTCTGTCTGTCTCCAGTCTGAAGGCAGTGCTGTCAGCCCCTCCATCCAGCGGGGCATTGGATCTTTCCGGCATCCCTCTGACAGCTCGGGACATGGAGCGTCTGTGTGCGCACCTGCAGCGCTACGCGTCTACTCTCATCAGCCTGGAGCTGGGCTTCACTGAGCTCACAGACGAGGCTTTCCTCCTGCTGCTCCCCACACTGGCCTCTCTCCCACACCTGGAGACTCTGGCACTGAACGGAAACAGGCTGACCAGAGCGATTCTGAAGGAGCTGACAGACGCCCTGAAGGTCAGAAAGTCAGATATCAATGTTTTCATACAGTGCTTTTACTATTTTATATACTCAGATCCCTCAGATGTTAGGAGTGTCTGAAGCTGCGTACTATATACTTCTATTTGACAAAGGAAACTCCAGAAAAGTGGAAACTGTTGCTTAAACCAAAATAAATTTAGTTTTGAGCCTTTGATAGCGCTACAATATAAAATTCAAGTCACTAATAATCTTTTTTGCAAAGTATTTTTCACTAGTGTTCAGTGCTGAAATCAGTCTTCCAGTAGTTCCTGAATGATTCCAGGTTTCCGCCTTAACAACTAAGGCTTTTTATCACTTAGCTAGAGCAGCTTGGTTTTTCTTTCTTCAAAACATGGGTAAATAATATCTGAGAGAAAGTGACAAATCAAAAAATATTTTCTGTGATCTAATCTGATGTTAGTTTTTATTTTTTTCTTTCTTTGAAATTTATACTAACAGACTGACCAATTTGAGGATTTTAGCTTGATTTGTTGCATTTATATTGAAAATACCTATTGAACATAGTGCTTATACTGCAACATGGGAATATTGTTTTCCTCAGGATCCGGGCAGTTTTCCAAGCGTGACATGGATTGACCTGGGCAACAATGTGGATATTTTCTCCCTGCCGCAGCCCTTCCTGGTCAGCCTGAGGAAGCGCTGTCCCAAGCAAGGCAACCTGCCCACCATCCAGGAGTTTGGAGAGAGCCAGGCCAGCGACCCCCCTGAAAGGCTACGGGGTCTTGGGGAAGAGGAGGAAACAGACGACACCAACCGGACTGAGAGCATGGGCGAGCTCCGTTCGGAAGTAGAGGAAGAGCTGGATGGAGAGATGGAGATAGAGGAGATGATGGAAGAGCTGCTGGACTTTGACAGGGAGGTACAAGGGAAGGAGGATGAGGAGGAGAGCATGTGGACAGTAGGGGAGCACAGGAAAGGAGGGGCGAGGAGGAGAAAGAGGGGAGGGGATGAGGAGGAGGAGGAGAAGAAGGAGAGGGTGGTGCAGAGGAGAGAGGAGCGCCCAAGGAGGAGGACAAGGGCAGTGATGGCAGAGTACGAGGATGACACACAGAGCTGTTCGAGCCAGTCGCAACACTCATCTGGGGCAGTGGAGCCAATGAGAGTCGAGGAAGACGAGTTTACCGACCAATCAGAACACTTTACCTGATCGGTCCCCACTACTCGGTTTATGTTTTACTTCCTGTGTCTACTTCTACATGGAAGGAGGCGAGAGAATTCTGTGGCTAAAAATGCTGCAGTGCTGCATAAATGTGCCACTCGATGTCCCTTCCCTGATCTGATTTGTGACCAATCACAGCTTCAGACGATGACGAAGTGGCTGCTGAACTCAGACTGAAACTCAAGCCAATCCCCAGCAGGAAGTGTGTTTTACCTTAGCTGTCTGTTGTTTAAAGTATTAATAGACCACAGATGCTATTGCATAGTATAGACTGATAAATTATATCACACGAGGCTTTCATGTATAGAATGTTAATCTATATTCAGGTCCTTCCTCCTTGTAATCCCAGTAATACCTACATGTGCCTGTAACACATCCCATTCCAAGACAAAGTAATCAGGGCCTTTATAAGGAAGTGTTTTTGCCAAAAACTACAAGTGGAACTGTGTAAAAGGCCCACGTGGGTCAAAGGCCAGCCTGATGGATCGGAAGATCTCCTTTTTCTGCTGCTTAAGAAATGTGATGTGAAATTTGATGAAGGTGAAATTAGTAAGCTAAAAAACCACCCTGATAATAGCTAGAGCAATGAGTGACTCTGGAAGAAGAAGCTCCTGTTTCCAAGGCTATGCAAGGGAGAACGGGTAACGATGAGCCAGCTTTTACTTGAGTCAACCTTTAGCTAAGAGGAGTAATAACTTCAGGAAATTATATCTCGCCTGAAAACTTATCAGACGTAGCTAACTCAACTAAACAACAAGATATTTCATCTCAAAATGTGGGAAGTTGAGCTTAAAACAGATGATGATCCATCTGAGAAAATAGTAACAAACCATTCTTCTAACCCAACGTGTAATTATTTAGAATTAGATCTCAACTCCCGGTTAATAAATAGACATTACAGCTTTTTTTGTCTATAGTGCTAAAAGATGAAGATACTCCACTGTCCCTCTTAAGGAAAAGCTTAAATTGGATGAAAGCTTTGTTGCTTTGAGGGTATTTTCATTGTTTTTCATTTTCACTGTCATGACAAAAAGTTTTGGAGGTGGCACAACAAATTTATTAAGTTTTTGAAACATATTAAACCTTTATAATGGTTCTTCACTGTATCAAAGAAACATGAAAAATAAACTAAATAAAAAATGAAGCAAATGAAAACAAACCCAGATCTGTTGGCCTCAACTGTACAATATCAACTTTTGCATTAAAAGTTAACAACATTTAACATAAAACACCAATATAGTCAAAAATATAGTAAAAAAAAAACAAATAACAACTCTGTTTAAGATAAAATATTCCTGTGCCCCATACAGATAGTTATAAAATCACTGGTTTAATTAACACATATCTACACCAATCAAACTCTAAACCCAGCATAACCGAAATAATGATCAAAACTCTACTAAACTGAGGATTTGATCCATTACCTGCATCTTTATGATTGTTATTTCAGAAGTAATAGCTAAATGCATAACTCTTGGTATGCAGGATGAAGTAGAGTAAACTTAATCTAATGTAAGAAAACCTCAAAACTATAATAAATTAGGTTAAATTAACACATTTTAAAGCTTTGCTGCTGTACCTGGAAAGCTTTGACAGACAATTATTTTGTGAAAAGATCTCCTAGCTACTTCATCTACCTTGTTCTCGAATGGAAAACTAAATTTAAGGTCACATGACTAAAGCCTACCCAATTTATCAGTGGGCAAATACTATGGCAGATATTAGCATCCACATTTATAACAGCACAAAAAGTTACTTTCAAAAGTTAAAATGATATAGAAGAAATTCTAAATTCCTATATTGCTTGGGCTATACACATATAGGTGCTCAGATATAGGTGGAAGGCGACCTTACCTACTGGCTCATCTTATCCCTTTGTCCCCTGCAGTGGATAGAAGTGTTAACCTCATTGCCATGCATCCCAAAGCCAAGTGCTGAAATATTTAGTAGCCTTTTTCCTCATAATCCAGGTCATGCTTCACACTGCGGCGCTGTACACTAGAGTGCATCACACGCTTACAGTGCTGTGTTTGTATATAGGTCGCTGCTATGCTGTACGCTGGGTTACAACACAATATCCTTATACAGTATGTAGCTCTCACCTGGCTTGTGCATTCTCTCCATGTGTCACTTATAATCCCTGCAAAGCTTTAATAAACTGTATTTTTAGATGTACAGTACATATATATATGTACTGTACTGTACATATATATATGTACTGTACTGTACATATATATATATATATATATAAACTAATCCTTTTTATCTGACAGATTTTTTAGATTGTAGATTAGCTACTTCACAAGTACTATCACTGAATTCAAGAATTTGTATATTTTAAGGGGTTTGCAGTAGCAGTATTCATGTTTGTGAATAACTCTTGAAGGAAGAGCTGACCCAGTTTAATGACTGTCTGATCACTGAAGACAGAGTCTGTCCAGGTAAGGAATATTACACTGGAGCAAAGTAAATGTCACCTTAAAACAGTCAAAATTGCAAACTTTTTTTTCTCTCAGACCGTGGCCCTAGGTGCTAATACGCTCACCTTTGGAGCTGTTTGTGTGTGTATCATAGCAAATGAAGGCTTTTTGTGATGTACTGCTTTGCAACATCATCATAAATTAGCATAAACACAGCTGGATGCATTACAGAGCTATCTTGAATCACTAGCTAACAGCAGGGGGTCTGCATAATAACAGAAACCCTGCCAAAGATATAGAACTGGCTGCGCTAGTCACAAAAAAAACCTCTATTGTAATTCTTTTTTTTAATTATTATTTGTAGAGTTGTTCAATTGAAAGGCTTTGAGAAGTGAGAGAGGCTAACACTGATGTTGTTATGAGACTGTGCTGAAGCTCTGATGAACAGAAAGCATGTGGACAGTAAAGCATGAAAGGAAAGGGCCTGATCCCAGTTTCCAAACTAATAACCTTTGAAGCCTGTCCCTCTAAGGGCGTGAGGCCTTAATGTAGACCTAATTGTTTTTCCCTAGTGTCCCTATTGCCTACATACAAGTTTTAAAGATGAGGTCAGAGTATGCAGACCCTTTCCAAAAACTTAGAATATCATGGAAAAGTTTATTTATTTCCATAATTCCATTCAAAACGTTAAGATTTCAGGATTATAGATTCAGATCCCGCAACTTAAACCATTTCAAGTACTTAGTTGTTTATTTGTACGTTTGTAAATTTGGGCTGATGTCTTCATAGTATTCTAATTTTTTGAAATCATGTTTTCATGGATTTCATGAGCTGGAAGCCCAAATTATGTACAAATAAACAACTAAGTACTTGAAATTGTTTAAGTTGTGGGCCCTGAATCTATAATCTATGAAAGTTTAACGTTTTGAATGGAATTATGGAAATAAATAAACTTTTCCATGATATTCTAAGTTTTTGGAAAGGGATTTACTCATATTTACAGATATTTACAGCTCACGTTTCACACTGCTTTAAACACTCAGTTTTAGATCAATTTTTCTACTCTTGGTTCTGTATGTGTATTAGAGTGGATACCCCTTGTATGGTCATCTCAGGCACAGTTCTGATGTGAGCACAAAGGTCCCACCTTGTTGTTTAGATCTTCTATTGTTATCTCAGAAAAATGAACTGAGTAGCTACACCAAGACCCAGGATGTTATGGCTTAGTCACACTGGTCATTTAGTGGTTGTATGAAATCTTTTTGCATTCGGTGACCAGCTGCAAGTTACTTTGATCACCAGCTGGTCTCCCAGAGACTAAGCACACAACATCCTCAACATCTGGGTAAATGCTTTCGATCATAGGGCGACTGCACAGGTTGCCTGATGTGAGGCAACCTGTCTCCAAGTAATCAAAGTCCAATTCAGACTGGTTGCAAATAGACATCTATTTTTTTTAATACAGGAAGAGAACACATTACAAGATTACGATCTGAGTCACTCTGGACCAATGAGTGAAACTCATGTGTAATGCATTTTGTTGCAATAAGGGACTTGACTCAGCTGGTTGCCAACTGGTAACCAGATATTACTGTGGTTGAACTGCTGTCCTGCAGCAACTGCATCTCGATCTGTTTCTGAATTTCTGGTTCAAACCTGTGAGGTTCTGGCTGAACTCTGAAGCTAATGTGAATTTCTGTTTAAGGTGAAGGTCTGTGTATGTAAACAGCAACAGAATTGACATTTTCACTAATCTATCACCGTTGTTTGCTGTATTATCACAAACAGATTGCATGTAATTGCCAACTTGACCCCATTCAGTCTCAATCTGATAACAGACTGACTCCATCTTATTGCTGTTTTATCGCAGCGCTAAAATAGCTGCAGGTTCAGGTGATTCTAACGTAAGAGTAAATGATACTTTTTCTCATCCAAAATGTTTTAGCAGATTAATTAATACTGATACAGATGGAAAAAAAAGCAGTGCCAAATTTTGCCAAATGGATAGCATTTAGAGAATACCCCACTGACACCTGAAACTGTGTCCAACTCAATATGAAGGCTTGATATGACCTGTGCAGCTTCCTTCTGGAAAAAAACAGAATCAAATCAGAACTGAATCAACAGCAGTTTCAACAATAAAAGTTTTAGGTGTCTTATTAGAGACAAAAAAGAGGCTAATGTAGTCTTTAGAAGCTCATTCCCTCTGATTCTGCACCCCTAGTATTTCTTATTTTTAAATCTTTAGCCTTCAGACCTAACAGGTGGCGACTCGAGGGGCATCACCTGAGGACACATATGCAAACCTTAGCGGTTGAAAATAGAAGCCAAAAACCGCATTTACCACATTTCCTGGAGTGACCACTGGTTCTAAACATAAATAAATCCCACTGCCCCCCATGTTAAACTTTACCTCAGAATTAACCATGTTTATAGCCTGGTATGGAAACATTTTGGTCTGTACAGATACTCATTTGGATCTGACTAAGGCTTAAAGTTGGTGGCTGCTAAATGTACTATAGTTGATAGCTTCCTGCTAATCATCACTTTACCTAATTCCACTTCCTGAATTGGACCTCTTTACCATGTTTGTGCTGTTAATGTCTTTTCTGGAAGTTATTGAGTTGCTGTGTGGCGCAAAGAGTGGCATCCAAGACACGAATGCAGTTTGCCTAATATGTTAGCTACCATTGCTGATAACTTAACTCATAACTAAACCGCCACCCGCTCGTCATTCCTGGCTCTAAAAATGTGGCACAGCTAGAGCCAAAATGCAAATGTTGAGGTTTTAAAATGCAGAGTGTGGAAACCAGTGGGTGAAGTCACCGGTGACCATGTCCATCTTTTATATAGAGGTCTATGGCCTTTATTACTGAAGCCAAATAAAAGCCCCAAGACCTGTACACAGATATAAGTGTATAAAACAAGTGCATCTTCCCTTTAATACTCACCAGGAGCTTTTACTGTAAGACAAGAAACTAATGAAAAGCATTGAAATAAGCAAATTCAGCCATTTAGCAATTTACCTCATACCATAGTGTGTTCAGCAGTAATAACATGATACTTATAGGTAACCAACATGTCACACAAGCTGCTAGCTGCTCCCTTTTACTACATTAATACAACATAGGCTGTAAAAATTCAGTGGTAAATCAGTGGAATCTAATTACAAAGAGAAGCATCCCTTTAATGCATCTTTACAAGGAGCTAGTATTCCATTGTCCCTGTAAAACCACTTTAACCAACAGCGCGTTAATACGAACCCTTTAAACAGAGGCAGATGTAAAGCATGTGACACTGAACTCACACTGTTGACGTCCGTCCTTGAGAGCCACATTGAACTTATTTTTAGCAATTCTCTGTATAGAGTGTCAAATATTGATTGTTGTACAGTGAGTTCAGTTTGTGGTATGTAAAGCATCCACTGGCTTTGTGTACCACTCGTGGTTTGGACTCCATTCTTGGGGTAAGAGTCTTGCTGAAGCTTGCGAATTTACATTGGCTGAAACATGTCTTTGACTGACTGCAAGAGAGAGATATGTACATCGTTTTGTCTGCTTTTATGTTGAGGTCATGGGAAATCAAAGCAAAGGGAAATCAAATTAAGCTGATATGCTCATTTGAAGTATTTGAATATATATATATATGTGTAAAGATTCTTCAAACTTGCTTGTCAGAAACTCTCATATTGTTCAGCTTTACTTTCTTCAGCCCTGAGTAAGCAAACTGGTTGAAATTGTGGCCATATGTCTATAGTTTGATGATTTGTCCTTCCCCTTGCTCTGTACAACTATCTACTCATTGCCACGTGCAGAATGACCTGTCCTTTTGATGCAAACTGTGGTTTTCAGCTTGTGGAGCTATAAATGTTTCCAGTGACAAGACGATGTGAAGTCCATGCGTACGTCTTGTCCAAGGACTCTTGCTGCTTTATTGTGAGTTGTAAAAAGAAACATGGAAATTTGAATTTGAAGGTATGGGTGTCTGTAGCCTTGAATCGTTTATGATTCTTTCCTCAGTATCAGTTTTTCTGTCTATAGCATATACCTCTATGATATTCTCCATGTTCCATTTGTCCCAAAGTTTCTTTGTTTTCATGCCACTTTATCACGGTGATCCTTTTAAAGGAAAACTCATTCATTTCATTCAAATTTAAGATGAAATTGTAAAACCTGATTGTCTGCTGTTTTGCCATGGATCTTATCAATAAATTCTCTGAAGGGAAAAACCCTGCCTTACTCTTACGTTTGTGTTTTCCTCATGTGTTCATGTGTTAGCTACAGCAAATATTTGTAGGACACATCATACATACATCTGACGCTATAATACTATAGCATATTAACATGTGGATAACTGTTATCTGTGCTTCTTAAAGTGATTTATATTATAAACAGTCATCAAATGATGTGCCAGCAGAACAACAGGAAAAACAATGGGCTTGTTATAAACTCTTTCTTGTTATCAAGTCATTAACAGCCAAGTCTTTACTAAATGGTCATGGCTTTTCCCCTGACAGATGAATTTATACATGCATATTAATAAATTCACAAAATACATGTTCTAATAACTCATTTGATATGCATCTATAATGATCCAAAAACACAGCATGGTGCAGTTGTAAACAAATGTATTCTATCATATGTCTGGGTTAGGGTTAGCAAGTGCACTGTGGTGGATTAAAAGATAATAAATGACACTATAATAAAATCCATTTGTGTCAGCATCCTGAAATTGTTTTAACAAAGCTAGCGTTTTGCTTCCAAGGAGCAAAAGATAACAAAAGGGAACAGAT